AAGCCTTGTCCAGACTATCAAATTTTATTTGAAAAAAAAACCAAGTGATATGCCATGGTCATGATGACATCACATCATGACCATATATAGGCACATCATGACTATATATAGGCATACAACTGTTTTTTGTCAAAGAAAATTTGATAATAGGCAGAGTTTTACAATAATTGGGACGCCAGATATTAACTCGGTAAATTGATAATCCATCCAATGTTTATGATTGAACTTATTTTTAATTATTATTATTATTATTATTATTATTATTATTATTATTATTATTATTATTATTATTATTATTATTACTATTATTATTACTTCTACCACTACCACTACTACCTACTGCTATTGCTACTGCTACTGCTACTACTATTACTACTATCTACTACTACTTTTACTACTACTACTATACTACTATTACTACTATCTACTACTACTTTTACTACTACTACTACTACTACTACTACTACTACTACTACTACTACTACTACTACTACTGCTAAAACTACTACTACTACTACTACTACTACTACTACTGTAATCTTCCTTAATTTCTCTATAATTTCTGTATTATGTTCAAACACTGTATTTCATCTTAGACAAACAATGGGCTGATGTAATGAAAGTGAAGGAGCTTAAGTCACCTGCTGACGTTGTCGACAAGATTCTTGATGTTTTGGAAGACTGTCAGGAAGACGGATGGTTTAAAAGTTTTTTAAATGCCTTGGCACATGATAACGGTAAGAGAACAATTAAAAGTGTATACCTAAATTGATGCATTTGTCATTATCGTCATCATATATTACAAATCTGTTATTTTGCGTTTGGACTATTCAGGGGCGGATCCAGAGATGTCCAAAAGATGGGGCGGGGGGGAAAAGTGGGGCTGATCGAGGTAACACTAGCCTTAAAGGATCCGGGGCATGCCCCCTCGAAACTTTTGTTTTCTGGACACCCGAAAATAACCTCTGAGGCGTTTCAATTATTTTTCTTTCTTTCTCTTTTTTTTTTTTTTTCTTTTTTTTCTTTTTTTTTTTTTTTTTTTTCTTCTTTTATTTTGACTTTGCAATTAAACTGCTGTTTAACTTAGAATTTCCGTCGGTAAATAGACCTCATGTATATTAATAACAGTATTAATGCCTGGGTTTGGTTTAATAATATGTCAATGAACACATAAGCAGTCATGTCTTCTGATGTCTACCAAGTCTGTAGATTCTTTTGTTTCATTCTGTTAAATTCTGCTTATACAATATTTATAGGTCAATATGGTGAGTTTCCGTGTCTCTGGAACCTTAGTAAAGTCGTCTGACCCTGTGGTGCATAGTTGAGTTAGGATCTGGGGATGTGCGGTTCATTAGGACCTTAGTGGAAAAACTTCCCTACCCTAGGATGCACAGTTTGGTTAGTTGTGGTATGCAGGTTATTTGACATTAGTAATAACAATAATTGTCGATTTATAGAGCGCAAAGACCTCTATCTGTTTAACATTATTACCGCGGTCATTGGATAAAGCGCATATGGAACACAAACAGGGGCGGATTTAGGGGGGGGGTGCCGGCCCGGCCCCGGCCCCCCCTTTTGGGGGGAAAAAAAAAAGAAAAAAGAAAGAAAAAAGGGAAGGAAAAGAAAAAACTGATAGCCCAGAACGCCCCAAAGTGTTCGGGCGTCTAGAACACAAAAATTTCGCGGGGGCATGCGAACCCCCCACGACGGTGTTGTCTCAATCGGCCCAACTTTCGGCCCCCCTTCCGGCCCCCCCCCCCTTTTGGACATTTCTGGATCCGCCCCTGACAAACTCATGTCGCTAGGGTGAATTCCATAATGTTGCAGCTGTAATTTTGTGTTTGAACCTACCAGGTACCCACTTGTATTCCTGGGTGGAGAGAGATAAATATAAAGTGCCTTGCCAAAGGACACACGCGGAATTCACAGCGAGGGATTCAGCTTCCGACCTTAAGATTAAGAAGCAGAACCGCCTTGGTGTGACTTGCCCTGCATGCAATCATAGTAATTAAACTGTATTATAATTTTTTTCATGTATTTATTTTGAGCTGATATTGGATTGGATTGGAAGGTGGAATAAAAATGAAATTTAAATAAAAAAGATTTCCTCAGTAGGATTCCATGGTATCAGTTCATCAATACTTATTTGATAAGTAGATTATTAAGTTTTCTCCTTATTGCAGAAACTCCGAAAAATAAAGAAATCCAGAAATACATTACGGGTTTCAAGAAGTTTGAAGATATGTCCCCATACAAGGGCCTTCTTAGAGCCTGTGTGCCATCGTTGTTGGCGAATGTCATCCCAAGGGACCTTCTTCCACACCTAAAATCTTTATCCACCGAAGATAAGCAACGCATCAATCAAATCATAGATCATCGGTGCGATACAGAAGCAACAATGGAGCTCCTTGAGTGCATTCAACGCGGAGGAGACGAATGGTTTAAAGAGTTAATTACTGCACTTCTGGCTAATAATTACACCGAATTGGCAAATTATTTACGACCCCCAGACGAAGGTAAGGTACACTAAAGAACTTTTGATTTGCGCGACAACGTGACTGTTTTCGGCCACACATGCGTAGTGTATTCCACGTGACGCCATTATTATATTACGAAAAATACCAGTGCCCACAATAAGCCTTTAAAAAATCAATATAGGCCTAAACACTTGAGATGCTCGAATGAATCACACTACAGTATCAAATTTTGGACACAGATGGAACTAATCAGTTTTCGCTGATTTACAAAGTTTTACTACGAAAATCAAATTTAAGGATTGAGGCATATGCAAAGAATTGGTCTATAGGCCTCTTTCTGAATTTCCAATGGTCCTTTCCGCTAAGCTCCGCCCCTTGGATATAGTTGCTAAGGTCCCACAAAACGACGTTTAAAAACATACCGAAACACGTGCGTTTATGAGGATACAGTCGTGTGCTTGTGATACACGCGCGTATTCCTGCCCCTGTTCTGATTGGTCAGTTGTTAAGTTTCATTGACACTCCGAAAAGGTCTATTGAAAGTAAATAACTTAAGTAAATAGGCCTATAGGTCTAATAATTTTAAAAATATATATAAAATTGAATTTCAGTGCTCATGATTTTTTTTTTATCGTATCAAATGGTATTTAAAGGGTGTTTTTTTTTTTTTCTTTCTTTTAATATGTTCTGGTATAGAAACTATAGAAGATTGCCCAAATCCTGTGAGTGACTCGTCGGAGCAAACGCAGAATGAAGACCAAGAGACGTTTCATGAAGAGGCAAATAGTAAGAAACCGTAAACCAAAAAAAACAAAAACAAAAACAAAACAAAACAAAAAAGAACAAAAAAAAAGGCTATTTTGATAATCTGAACTGAATCCAGTTCAATACATCTATGTATGAAACATGACTTTGTAAAAGTAACAAATGGACAACTTGAAATACACTATTCTTCTTTTTCTGGCCACTATTCTTCTTTCTGGCCACTGTTTACGATAGGCATAGCTAAAATAAAATAAAATGTAGGCCTATTTTTAAAAATTATAGAACTTTTTCACTGAAAAAAAATAGACTAAAGCTTATATTAACTCTTCGGGGGATTATCGCCTTTTAGATGACACGAATCAAAGTGAAGCCACAACTTTAGCTGTTGACAAAGATGTGGATGACGTAGGCATAGCTGAAAAAGATGACGATGGAAAGGGTAAGAATTTTACAAGTTGGTACGGGTTCAAACCTCGTAACTGGTATATAAATCAATACAAATCAATTACAAAATTTATGGAATTTTATAAACGTCAAGGATGGGCACAGTAGAAGATTATAAACGCCAAATCATCATGATGAATACTGTAATAAACTCTGTTTATACAATATAGAGAAAGCAGCCAAGGGAGAATCTAAGAAGCTAAACTTGCGCAATTACCAGAAAGAGTTAGCAAAACCTGTTATTGCCGGAGAAAATACAATCATTATATCACACACCGGATCCGGGAAAACGGTCGTAGCTGTTCATTTCATCAATGAGCATTTTAAAAATGGACAAGCGTCTAACGAGCTGTCGGACAACCCGGATACTAGTGGCGGAGTGGTACCAGTTGAGAAGAAGCCTAAAAAGGTTCTCTTTCTCGTAAGCACGGTAATAAAAGTTTTCTGTACATTTTAAACATGAATTTGCAATGTTGATCGATCTATGGCTGTTTTCAACGCCAACATCAAATAGTTTGAAAATTCCTTAATATTGTGGATAATGAACATTGTAGACACACAAAACACACGCACATGTGGTTGTGTGTTTGATGCCACAAATGTGCGGTTGTGACGTCAAATGCCTATTATTTTTTCCTTCCTCGTCTTATTATAATATATGTGGGTGCGTGTATATAAATATGTGTGTATATATGTATCTATATATATATATATATATATATATATATATATATAGGCCTATATACATATATATATGTATATATATATATATATGTATATATATATATATGCATATATATTATATATGATATACAATATATATGTATATACAAGTAGTTTTAAGCTGTTTCATAATGTATTTTTTATTTGAGTTGTTAGTTATTATTTAAGTTAATAATTGTTTTGATTTACGCACCTCTTGGGTGCCACAGTTGTAAATGTCAATATATGTCACAGTGTCAATATATTATTATGTGTACATTATTAATAGGACAATTTGAGTAACGAAAATAAATGTTCTTGTTTTATTCTTTAGACAAATTTGGCATCACAGCAGCATGACTTGTTCCAGAGTTACCTGCAGAGTACACTGAAACTTTGTTACTTGATTGGTGAAACAGCACCACTCAAGTCGTTGAAAATTGTAGTTGAAAACAATGACATCATCTTCCTAACAGCGCAGATGGTAGTGAACGCGCTTCAGAAAAATGACGTCACCATTGACGATTTCACAATGCTCGTATTTGATGAGTGTCACCATTGTCATGTAAGGAAATATCACATGCTCACTAAATTTGATAAACAACATTATGTATCGGTTTAATTCTGAAATACAACAATGTCTCTCCCTCATTAGTAAATAGTTTAATAATAATAATAAATAATAATAATAATAATAATATTATTATTATTATTATTATTATTATTATTATTGTTGTTGTTATTATTATTATTATTGTTATTATTATTATTATTATTATTGTTATTATTATTATTATTATTATTACTACTATTATTATTATTATCATCATTATTGTTATTAGTAAATTATTTACTAATTGTAGTACAGTAATGCTAAAATCATTTTTTTAGGGCCAGAATCCATACAACGAAATAATGGCAAGGTATCGCAAAGCAAAAATTGAGAATGGAAGAGCTACGTTACCACAGGTATTGTATGCTGATTATATTGGTAATCAATAATATTATAAAATAATAATATAAAGTAACTGTAATATTAAATGCAGTAACAATAATAATAATAATAATAATAATAATAATAATAATAATAATAATAATAATAATAATAATAACATCATGCAAATTGAAAGTAGTACCATCAACAACAACAAAAACATTAATAAAAGTATAACAGGCCGAGTAATATTTAATACGCGAGTTGCAAGATTTTCGATGAGCTAATAACAAAATGAACCAGCAACATGTTGAAAGTAAACTTCTACGCATTCAAATTTTTGCTAATAAAATGTCAACTTTAAATATTACCCTTTTTTAGGTTTGTCTTTTGCAAAATTAATAATGGCCTATACTTGCCCTGTCTCTTATACACATCTTATATATAGGCCTATATACATATATATATGTATATATATATATATATATGTGCATATATATTATGACAGGAAAAGCTTTCAGTCAACAAAAATCTGACGAATACGCAAAAAAGATTTTTGCAAATCTTGATGTGGAAGCTGTTTCCATACCAAATGAAGAGGATGAGGAATATCGAAAGTTTGTTAATCCACCAGAAGAAAGTAGGACTTTACTCTAAAATTTAGTAAAATGGCATAATATGAATATTAATGTTGATCACATGTGCAGCTTGTTCTTCAACCTAATTATATAATATTATCTTATTTTAGTTGATCCGATTTTAGTGGAACCCCGTTCAGATGACGATGATCCGTTTAAAATCGAAATAGAAGGTATCATGGTTGAGATTGAAACGATGCTAAAAGAAGAGGTGATAAAAAAAATGAGTTAGTATCTATTCATTTATCTCTACTTGATTTATTGCGTTTCATCTCAGTAGCATGCCTCCTAAAGTAAAAGATTTCGAAAAATATAGTAGCCTAATTATTACTTCTTGTCAAAAGTTTTTACAGGTCTCCCTTTATTAAAGACATCCTTAATTAAAGACCACTTCCAATTAAAGACCACTTTTCTGTGGTCACATATTAACAAATGTGTTTTAATGTTATTATTTTAATTAGAGACCAAAGCTGCTAAAGAGCATGGACACCCCAGTCCCAAAAGCGGTCTTTAATTGGAGGGACACCTGTATTTTGATTAGTAATCTAGTTTCAATTACTTTACTTTTACTGTATTTATGTAATGTCTCTGTCCACGGGATTTATTAATTGTTTATATAGATGCATTTTATGAACTAATTGGAGTAAGCCTAATCAAATCAAACCAAACAAGTACACAGAACAACTAACTTGAAGTCATTCAATGTGATTATGTAGGACCCGAACGGAAATAAACATGTTTAATTTGGTCAAACATCATGCACAAACCAACTTTTTACTGTACTGTTTTTACTAACACTTTTTTGACAAGCCACCTTTCTACTGTAGGCCTACTGTTTTTACTAACAAGTTTTAATTTAAACATAATGCTGAATTTTATTTACCTTTGTAGAGAAAGTACCTCAGACACTTTTGGACTTATTAAAGTTCACTGAGTGCGTCAAAGGATCAAGTGCTTATGAACAAAGAGTTGAAACTTTCAGAACCACTTGCCCAGAGTCAGTTAAAGATGATGACGCCCTCTTACGATTGCTGAGAACTGGGGGACACTATTTGAGGGTAAATATTGGATACTAAATTTAAGCTATCGATGTATATCACATATTTCCAGGAATTATAAATTCACTATTATTTATTTTAATGCATATAAATCATATAGAATTTGTTTTGCTGGGCACAGAAACTACAGGAGTGAAATACAAGACGCTAGTACGTAATACAGTTAATAATAATGAAAATCATAATACAAGCCGTATAAAGCAACAGTTTATCGTTTGAAAATTATAACTCTAAATGACCTATTCCTTTTTGTGAAGATATTAATCACGTGTATGTACGTGTTTTCAGGTATACAATGATGCTCTGAAGATGAATAAAATATGCAGAATTAAAGACGCTCTCAATCTAATTAAGGAATTCATCAAAACAGAGAAAGAAACGCGTTCGGAAGGATTCAACAATGTTGATAAGGATCTTATACAGCTTTTTGAGAGTAAGATATTCATTATAATAATAGTAATTACTGAAGTGGATGAGTTGCTTGATGGTTATGATGCCCGCCTTTCAATCTTAAATTCTTAAGATCGTGGCAAACACCAGAATATTTTGTGTTCTCACAACTGCAAGTTGTCGAATCAATCGAAAGTTTTCGATCACAATGAAATCAAAACATTAAGTTTATGATATTACTAATAATACTGCTGTTCTGTATGCTGGATATGATATAATAGTGTTCTTTTTCTTATTTATTAGACAGAGAAAAGGAGCTGGATTTCGTCAGTGGACGTTCAAGATACGAGAACCCACTTTTGACTAAACTGCAAGAGATCCTAACTGGTGAATTTCGGTCGAAACCCGCTTCGCATGCCATAATTTTCTGCACGAAACGTGTTACAGTCGATGCAATGCACAGTTGGATTGAAGAAAACGAAATACTTTCAGAATTTCTTAAACCAGAAAAGATATTTGGATCAAGTGGTGAGTTGAACGTTAATGGCAAAGATATTCGTAAATACTTTATATTTACTAGTGTGAATACTATTGATGGCACTTTCTACTTTTCACTTTTGTTTTATTATCTTAGTTTTTTATACTCTAGTAGGAGAAATATTGCTATACGTTGTGATGTAATATTTTACGAAATGCTTGAACCTAGAACTCATCCGTGGCCATCTGTACAGACATAGCGTTTTGGATGAAGATGTCGCATTCTCAGATGATTTATGTGACAACATATTGTTTATCACCAATATCATCTCTTTCATTGGCACCCTATTTACTCGCATATGCATCACTGTCGTAATACTTCATCGTCTGTAACCAACGATTACAAAATAGGGAACATTCACAAAAACAAATAGCGAACAATAATCAATTGAAATATGGAAAGAAGGGATAGCTCTATATGACTAAGGGTTTAAAGGAGTCCCCCCCCCCTATAAAAAAATAAATAAACCAAAAGACAACACCTACTGTACATATCAATCAATTTGTTTTAATGTAGAATTTCTAAAGTCCAATTTAATGTTTTACAGAAATGACTTCTGATCAACAGCAAGCAGTTTTACAGAATTTCAAGAGTGACGGTTGCAACATACTTGTTGGAACAAATGTTGTGGAGGAGGGTACAGATGTCCCAGATTGCAACATGGTTTTCCGCTACAACTACATGAGTAGCGACGTTGGTCGTAAGCAAGCTAAAGGTAAACTTACTATATTTCGTTAATATTATATTATTATTGGCTTTTCCTAGCAGTAGCAGGAAAAGCCATTGTTTTTGTTCTGATTTTTCCTATCTTTTACACTGGGGTTTCCACCCGGTCATTTGGTCACTTTCAATGCTTGGATCTTTTCCGATCTTTTCCACAAAATATTTTCAACTTGTGAATTATATAGGCCTATTTGAAGTTTAACCCTGTGGTTAACACTGTATAATCTTATCAACCAAAATGCATGACATGGTTTTTTTTTGGTTTGGTGTATTAGGCATATTGTTTGCACTTGCAATAGTTACACATTTGAAATTCATTTGGATAATGTTATTTTTTGGTCACCTGACAGTAATTTTCTGTTTTCAGTTTATTTCTATAAACTGTTTTTAAACAGTTGAAAACTTAGCTTTACAGTGATGTTGTGGTAAACGGCAACAGAAATAACAGAAATAAGTCGTCATATATTTCAGAATATTAATTGTGGGCATATAATAAAATATTGTTCTAATGAGGATTCACCTAAAAATATTTTTTTTTTTTTTTTTTTTTTTTTAAAATCTGCTCGCGACCCAATGCAAAATACCCATAGTTTGGGAAGCATGGATGGATTTAAAGGGATTTTAACGGAAACACCCCACACATTTAAAAAACGAATCAACAGAAAACTTTGGTGACGATCAAAAATCGGGTGTGAATTTGAGGGCCATTTAAATTGCTAATGTAACAGGCCTAAATATCTCAAAATAAATATCTAAATGAAACTTTCCAGAATAGTTTGTCATGATCCACTAACCTCAGTCGCTGAGTTGGTTTCCATGGTTTTTGTTTTTAACTTATCATTTTCTTTATAATATTAGTATTTTTGTTTTTACTTCAGACTTGTTGTTACAATTTCAACATCACTTCTCATTATGACAATGAGGAATAGCCCTATGTTCTGTTGTATGAACAGAAGATTAAGTGTAGTTAATAATGTTGTTAATCTTGTTATTTTATGGGTTATTAATTTTATGTTACCATAGGTCTAGTAAAATACATTGATAGTATAAGCTGTGACTGTTTTTATGTGTTTTTCCCCCTTTTTTATATTTCAGGGAGAATTCGCAAAAAGAACAGTAAGTTTTACATGATCGCTTCCACTGAGTTTGATTTTGAAAAAAAAGATCAGGCCAACAAAGTCCGGGACTTGTACATGATAAAGAGTGTCCGCACATTGTCGAAAATCCCAACAGAAGAACTTAAAGCAGATCTGAGGGTTTTACAGCAGATAGATGTAAATGACCGAATCAGAATGGAAAAACTTGAAATGGAGAAAAGAGAACGTAGGACAATTGAAGCCTACAAATTGTTCTGCGGTAAATGTTCAGCCTTTGCGTGTTTTTCATATGATATTAAAGTATTCAATGATTCCAATCACCTGATTACTGACGAGGAGTTCTACCGAGAAAGAATTCGTACAGAGAAACACCCAAAGGCTAGGGAAATAGGCGATGATACTTACAAGTACGGGAAGGTTTTCTGCAAAAACTGTAGCTTTGATTGGGGAATTATGGTTACTATTAGTAACACTAACTTTGCAGTTATCAAAATTGTAAGCTTCATATTAGAAAAATGCGCTAATGGAAGAAAAACTACTCAGAGAAAATGGAAAGACTCTCCGTTTAAAGTGGAGAAATTGGATATACTAGAATTTAAGAGTACGAATTCTGACTGGAGTGTGTAGTCATACTATTAGTCATACTAAAGAAGTAGTGATATTGTTTCATTATAATTTTCTTAAATTTAACGAAGCAATATCTTTGGGGGGGGGGACGTTTCATCACCTTTTCTCAAGGTTGAATGACCTGCTAGATGCCCCGCTGATTCACTGTAGTGATATTGTTGTAATATTAGTGATCCCTGTCATTTGTTAGTATAATTAAAAACAATGGGAGCTAATAATACAGAACAAATTATTATTTTATACAATCAATAATGTATAATGATATTATATTATAAAAGTGAAGTTTGATGTAGATTATGTTACAAATTTTAGTAGATTGCATTAGTTTTTACCTCGAATACATTAAAAATATACTTTCGGGTAATAGCTGTCTCTTATACACATCTAGATGTGTATAAGAGACAGCACCTACTGTACTGTATTATAGAGGGTATTGCATAGTCACACCTACTGCACATAAGGTACAGATATAATTTTTTTGTTTTT